GGCAGGGCCTGGGTCCTAGGACAGGAGGAAGGAGGCAGGTCAGCGACTAAATGGAGGAGGGGCAGTTCAGGATACTGAAGACTCTTTTGGACAACCGGAGAGATCTGAGTTCAAATCCCAGCTCCATCACTTCCCAGCTAGCTCCGTCCATAGCTATGTGTCAAACACCTACTGGGTGCCAGGATTCCTGTGAGGCTCTGGGATGTCACCCACCCACTTGCAAACCTTGCCACCTCCCCTGTGAAGGGGCCAATGAAGTCTGACTCCCAGAGCTGTGGGAAGACAAGGTGCCAGGTACACGACGGCTCTGGGTGAGCCTGAGCCATGGCTACAGAGCTGCTGCTGTCACAGGCATAGTTGCAGCTGCTCATTGAGGCCAGAGCGTCATGTCTGGTTTAGTGAGGGTTTGTGGTTCCTGAAGTATCCCTCACCCCTCCTCTACATGCCCCGCTGCCCCTCCAGGGAGCCGCCTCAGCCCTGTCATTGTTGTTCCCTGTGGGGCACAAGAGAAGGGCCTGGGGCATCTGAGGCCAGGGTTCAGGAGTGTGTGCATGCATGTGTGTGTGTGTGTGTGTGTGTGGTGTGTGTCTGTGTCTGTTTCAGTGTGTGTGTCTCTGTGCGTGTGTATGTGTATATATGTATATGTGTGTGTCTCTGTGTGTGTGTGTGGTGTATGTCTGTTTCAGTGTGTGTCTGTATGTGTATATGTATATGTGTATATGTATGCATCTGTGTGTGTCTGTATCTGTGTGTCTCTGTGTGTATGTGTCTGCATGTGTGTATCTGCGTGTGTTGTGTATGTGTCTGCATGTGTGTATCTCTGTGCATATGTGTATATGTGTGTGTGTCTGTGTATCTGCATGTGTATATATATGTGTATGCATGTGTATCTGTGTGTGTGGTATGTGTATTTCAGTCTGTATGTGTCTGTATGTGTATGTGTTTGTATACATGTATCTGTGTGTCTATGTATGTGTATGTGTCTGCACGTGTGTGTATGTGTCTGTGTATCTGTGTATGTGTCTCTGTGTGTGTATGTGTGTATGCGTGTGTGTGTGTGGTGTGGTGTGTGTGTCTCTGTGCATATCTGTGTGTGTGTATGTGTATATATGTATATGTGTGTATCTGTGTGTGTGTGTGTGTGGTGTGTGTATGTCTGTTTCAGTGTGTGTCTGTATGTGTATATGTATATGTGTGTATGTATGCATCTGTATGTGTCTGTGTGTATCTGTGTGTCTCTCTGTGTGTATGTGTGTCTGCATGTGTGTATCTGCGTGTGTTGTATATGTGTCTGCATGTGTCTGCATGTGTGTATCTGTGTTGTGTATGTGTATGTGTGTATGTATGTGTGTCTGCATGTCTGTATCTCTGTGTGCATATGTGTATATATGTGTATGTGTGTGTGTCTATCTGCATGTGTATATGTGTATGCATGTGTATCTGTGTGTGTCTGTGTGTGTGGTGTGTTTCAGTCTGTATGTGTCTGTATGTATATATTTGTGTACATGTGTGTATCTGTGTGTCTGTGTATTTGTGTGTGTATGTGTCTGCATATGTGTGTATGTGTCTGTGTATCTGTGTCTGTGTGTCTCTGTGTGTGTGTGTGTGTGTCTCTGTGTATGTGTATCTGCGTGTGTGTGTGTATGCGTGTGTGTGTGTGTGTGTGTGTGTGTGTGTGTGTGTGTGTGTGTCTGCGTGTGTGTGTGTGTGTGTGTGTGTGTGTGTGTGTGTGTGTGTGTGTGTGTGTGTGTGTGGCGGTCATGCTTACGGCCTGGTGACTTCACTGCACCCCAGTCTTCCATATGTTACTGGGGCTAGACTTGAGACAAAGTCCAGGAGGCCACAGCTAGTTGAGAAGTTGCTGGAAGTCCATGCTGCTGTGACAGCGCTGGGCTGGGTGCTCTGTAGGGGCAGCAACCCAGGCCCAGCACTGAGCCCTTCCCCCAGGGCTGCCTGGGGTGGAGGCAGGTTTCCCTGGCAAGGGAGCTCCTGCGGGATATCCACACTAGCATCCATGCTGATGGCTTCGTGACTGCAGTGAGAGCACTTGGCCCGGAGCCCAAGTGGCCCAGGAGTGGGTGCTTCAATGAGACCCTCTGAGGAGAGGCTGAGGCCAGCCTTGTGGGGGAGGTGTGTTTCCCCAGAGATCCAGCCAGCTTCCAATGGCTGGGTGCGTCCTTGGCCTTAGGAGAGAGCTGCTCCTCTCTGCAGTGGCTGCAGCCTCCTGTTCCATCACTGGTAAATAATTTAGTCTCTCATTTATATGAGATGAGGGTGTGATGGGAGCTGCGGGTGAGTCAAGCGCGTTTTATGCTTCTTCAGGCTGGTGAGGGCAGGGTCTAGGGGCCTGCAGGGAGCAAGTGTGGGTCTAGGGAGGCTTTTTCTGGCGACACTGCCCCAGCCTTCTCTGTGTCCTTTGGGGATGGGGTCGTCCATTCCATTTCTCCCTAGGCGTTCGTGACCTTGTGATCAGAGGCCTTGGACAGGCAGGATGGTGAAGCTGCCTTTCATGTTCACCCTGTCTGTTTGTGCCTTGGCCTAGAAAGAGTGTTGCTGGTTAGCAAAGCCTGCAGACACGGTCAAATGCAGCCTGGGATGGAGCAGGGGTGGGGTCTGGAAGCCGGGGATGCCCATCCTGTCACCGCTGGCTGTGTGACCTGGGCTCCCCCATCAGCCTCAGTTTTCTTGTCTTTAAAATGGCTGTGGGGGCAGATGACCCCGTGGTCCTGGCGTCCCTAGCATTGTGGTTCCATGGTTTCTGCTGTCCATTCAGCAATATGCGACTATCTACCCTCGGCAAGGCTGAAAATGGGATGTGGTTCTGGCTGGCAGGGCTAATGAGTGACCAGGCCAACCACCCCCATTCCCACATCCTTGTGTGGGTGCGGCCACTGTCCTGCCTGGTGTGAGGGGATTAGAGGGGGCAGCAGACCTCAGCGAGAGGCAGTGAGATCCCCTGTACCCTGGGTCTGCCTCCAAGGTGTCCAAGGCAGGGGCCTGGACACAGTGACCTCGAGTCTCTGGGGAATCACTGCCTGTGTGGACCCAGATTAACTCTGGCACATGGAAGTAGGACACAGGTGCAGCCGCTCACCCTGCTGCCCTCTGGGGAATTGCCTCTGTGCATCGCACCTGCTGCCCTCTGGGGAACTGCCTCTTCACATGCCCTCTAGCTGAGAGGCACGGCCTAGGAGTGGAGGCGTAGGAGTAATTTCCTTGTCCTGGCTTCGGGGGGAAAAAGGCCATGCTGTATGCAGGGACTGTGGTCTTGGGAGGGGAAGCCAGGTCTCCCTAGCTCTGCGCATCCTCTCCTTCCACCCAGCCATCCTCTTGCCCCACGTCCTCACTTCATCCCTGCTCCCCTCCCAACATTCTGCCCACCCCTCCCCGTCTGGCATAGTGTGGTGCTTAGGGCTGGAGCTGGAGTACCTGGGTTCACATCAGCTCTGCATGGTCCTGGAATGTTACTGAGCCTTTCTGTGCTCAGTGCTTCAGTTTCTTTTGAGATGGAGTCTCACTCTGTCCCTTAGGCTGGAGTGCAGTGGTGCAGTCTCAGTTTACTGCAACCTCCGCCTCCAGGGTTCAAGTGATTCTCTTGCCTCATTCCCAAGGAGCTGGGATTATAGGCACCTGCCACCACATCCAGCTGATTTTGATATTTTGGGTAGAGATAGGGTTTCACCATGTTGGCCAGGCTAGTCTTGAACTCCTGACCTCAAGTGGTCCACCCACCTCAGCCTCCCAAAGTGCTGGGGCTACAGGCATGAGCCACGGTGCCCGGCTAGTTTCTTCATCTCTACAGTGGGGGTGATTATGCCATAGCATTGTTGTGAGAAATCAATTGAATGAATATGCATAAGAGCCGTACAATACCTGGCACGTAGCAGGTGCTCAGTGAAGTGACTTACTTAATGTTATTGATGCTATTCAACATGTTATCTAATATCATAACCCAGGGTCCAGGCCAGGAGCCACCTCCCCCTCCACAAAGTCGTCCCACCTGCCCACCCCAGGGACTCCATAGCCCCCTCAGAAGCTCCTGTTCTGCATACTTAGCGCATAGGATACTGTGGACGAGCCACCTGCTGGCTGCCAAGTGTTTTCAGTACTTTTATCTCATGGAAGCCTCACGGCAGCTCTGTGAGGTAGAATCATGATCCCCTTTTGGCTAACAAGGACAACCAAGGAGCCTGTACAGGGCCCCAGAGCAGACAAGGTAGACAAGGAGGGGAGGGGAGGAGGATGCGAGGTCAGGCCCCCAGGCCACGGTGCCTTGGGGAGCCACTCTGGTTAGCAATGAGAAGGCGGTGGGGATGGGTTTCTCAGTTTACAAAGTTCGCTGACGCTGGCCACTAGGGGACAGGAGGGTTGTCCCTTAGGTGGCAGAGGGGTGGGTGGGGGCAATGGTGCCTTCTGGTGTCTAGGGTGACTGGAAACCATGGAGGGCAGTCTTTCAACCTTTCTGAGCCTCAATTTCCCTACCCATGCCCTGGGGTGAGGGCAACCCTCACCTCTGGCTGGAGCAGCTGCCCGTGGGTGAGTGGCTTTAGGGGCACTCCCGTCATTGATGGACACAGCCTCTGTCCTGGCTGTTTCCCAGACAAGAGGGGCAGCTGCTCCCAAGATTACCCCAGGCCAGGCTTGGGGGAAGGCAGCAGGGGCCACAGCCACAGCGAGACCTCTGGGCCACTGCCTTCCAGGGTGACAGGTGACAAGGGAGTCTGCCCTGGATACCCTGGGACATTGGGTGGCACAGGCATCAGTGGTACGGTGTCCAGGCTGGTGGATTCTCCGTTACACCCATGGGCCTGTCCCCAGGCTCCTGCACAAGGCCATCTCCTGTGTGATAGAGCACTGGGCTGGGAGTCAGGAGGCCTGGCTGAGCACAGACGGACAGGCCGTGTCACCTCTCCAGGTGCCAGGGGGTGCTCTGGCTCCCACGACTCCACTGTGAGGACAGGGGCCTCACGAGCATTCCTGTTCCTGGTGCTTCATTGCAGACCGTGAGCGAATTGGGCAGGACTCAGCTTATGAGCAGGAGGGCAAGGTGCAGTTTGTGATCGACGCCGTGTATGCCATGGGCCACGCGCTGCACGCCATGCACCGCGACCTGTGTCCCGGCCGCGTGGGGCTCTGCCCACGCATGGACCCCGTGGATGGCACCCAGCTGCTTAAGTACATCCGAAACGTCAACTTCTCAGGTGGGGATGTAATGCGGGCCCTGCCCAATCCTGGGTATCCTGGGCCACGCCCGAGGGAAAGGGTCCCGAGACTTCGTGGGGTGGGAATGGGAGGCCTCTTCTGATGTTTCCAAGAGGCGAAATCTCCAAGGATGTTCCATGAAGGGGTGTAGAGAGGTCTCTGCCCTAGGCTCATCATCCTGCCTGCCTCTGGGGCCCACCCTTACAGGCATTGCAGGAAACCCCGTGACCTTCAATGAGAATGGAGATGCACCTGGGCGCTATGACATCTACCAATACCAGCTGCGCAACGACTCTGCCGAGTACAAGGTCATCGGCTCCTGGACGGACCACCTGCACCTTAGAGTAAGTGGGAAGGCGGGGAGCAGGTGGAGAGCCACTCTCGCAGTTCCAGCCCCTGGGAGGGAGGCCCAAGGGGAGGCTGCCTCTGATTACGCGGACCTCCAGGACTGCTGCTGCCAGCCTGGGGCTTCCTTCCCAGGGCCCCGTCCCAGACCTCAGTGGCTCTGAGGCCCCCACCCTGACATGGAAGTCAGGAGAGTCGGAGTTCTGCGGCCATTCTGGTCCCTGCCCTCTCCCTTAGCCTGGGGGCTTCTTACCTGTTACCCATTGAGCAGGGGATGGGGGACACTGGATAGAGGAATTCACGCTGGAGTGGAATGGCTCAAAGGCTTTTTGGGTACGTTGATGGGGGTGATGAGGGGAAGGGGGAATAAGATGGGGAGGGGGAGGGCTGCATTTGGGCAAAGGAGGGAAGTCTTAAGGCAAAGGACCTAGATCAAACGGGATTTGTGGCACCGGCTGGTGGGTAGCGAGCCAGTTGCCAGTTCCCCAGCCCCGTCAGAGCACGAAGGCAGCCGTGTTTCTGGTTCCTCCTAGCCACGCCTTCCTAGCTAATAGAATGTCCCAGGGATGTGGTGACTTTCCCTTTCTGGCCCTCAGTATCCCAGCTGGGAAACACAGCAGTGTTTTTGGAGAGAAAAGACCTTTGATTTGTTCCTGAGAAAGTGCTTGTGGACTTGGTCTCTACCTTGCAAGGGAAGGGGTGAGCCACCAGCGAGGTGGGCCCACTGTGACCCCAAGGATGGACTGCAGAGACTCAGACAGGTCCTCGTCTGGCCTCAGCCCTCCTCGTCCCGGGATCCCGTGGGTGCTGCATTGAGGCCCCGCTGTCTCCACTTGTAATCTCTTCCAGCTAGGAAAACCTCAAGCTCTGCTCTTAAAAGCACTTTTGGACTGCATTCTCATTTAGCCTAACCATCTTCTAAGTCGGAGAAAATAGCTCAGGAAACACAGCCCTGGGGAGGCAGATGGACTCTCCTAAGGCCACACTGTGGCAGGAACAGCCCGTTCCTAAGTGAGGCTCTTCGGATTGCTGAGTGGAGAGAGATGGGCAGAACGGGGTGTGAGGAGCACTTGGCAAAGTGGAACACCACCAAGTGGAGAGAGGGGCCTGTCTTGTTTTGGTGCAGTGGGCAGAGCACGGGGGCCGGGGACTGGAACTCACTAGCGGCAGCAGCTAGCACATAGCGAGCACCTGCTGCGTCCCAGCTGCTGCTCTAAGCACGGCCCCTTGCTGTGAGGATGACAGCTCTGTGAGGCAGGCCGTTATCCCTGCTTTCCAGATGTCCTAACTGAAGGCAGCAGGGACTGGGCAGGTGTGGGTGGCAGTGGGCCCTTCCCCTGAAAGTCCCCTCTCTGGGAATACAAGGCCCCTCCACCAGCCGGACCATCTTCATCCCATTCTGACACAGCTCACAATGCCCTCTTAGTCCTCCTCGCCTGTGAGGCCCGGACAGAACGGAGAGGGAGGCAGGAGGTGAGTGGGGCTGGGCTTTAACCATCAGCCTTCCCCAATGTCTCTGTGAGTGGCTCAGTTTGGGCTGTGCTGTGAGGGCCACAGAGCAGGCAAGGTACCTGTAACCACCTACCTGGCCACTGCCCTCTTCCAGGGTCTGAGAGTGTGGCGGTCTCATGTCACTGGTGCCCTGGACCTTGTCACCTGTGCAGTTATTCTTTCATAGATGCCACAGAGACTTACTGGGCCTCTACTGTGTGCCAGTCTGTGCTGCGGGCTGGAGACACAGCAGGGAAATTGACACAGTGCTCCCTGCCCTTGTGGAGCTGACATTCTAGTGAAATATTAAAAAGCATATCCATTATGACTCCCAATGGAAGTCACTCCAAGAAACAAAGGGCAGAGTGGCTTCATATCTGCTTTCTTTGGATCAGATGAAAAAACAAAGGCTCAGAGAGAAGCCATTTGCTCAAGGTCACACAGCCAGGTAGCAACAGAACTGTGATCCCAGGACTTGACCTTGGTCATGTCTCTTTCCATTGGAACCACAGAGTTTTCCAGAACACTCACCACCGCCCGTGCCCTCCAGGGCAGTCTTTCCCCTGCAGTTGCAGGGCTGCAGGGCACAGGGACCGTCTGCCTCCGCATTCCTGCAGGACAGGTTGCACTTGTCCTTGCCCCGTGCCTTTGGCTTCTGAGGTAGTCCACAGCCTGTCATGCCCAGAGTCACAGGACAACCTTCCTTGAGGTTTCCTTCCTACCTTGCCACGGGGCATCCCTACCCACCCCACCTTATCCCTTTTGCTCTAACGCCCTCCCCACACCCCCCAACCAGCTGGTTACACTTTATCAGCAGCTAGCACCCAGTGCAAACGCACCGGTCTAGCCAGGCTTGCTGTGCTCTGAGAGCGAGCCTTCCTATGAGCCGCTTTATTTAGAACAGTCGCTTTGAATACAGCACCCGGGTGTAGTCAAGTCCCTTTGCCCGGTGCCTGAGGCTCTTTTGGGACTCTCACTGTCTAGAATATTGTAACATATTCAGTAGGGAGTGACAACACACGTGTGGCTCTTTTGCTCACGGCCATTGTGTCTTCAGGGACATGTAACTGTGAGTAGCACTAATTTAGAGCAAGATGTAAAGAAACGCTAACCCCTGAGCACACATTAAACATCCTCTGATGAAACCTCTGTTTGCTGCCCTCTGCTGAATCCAACCCCCTGTACTGCTTGGCAGGGGCGCCTTGGGCCGGGCCATAGGGCAGGGCGTCCACCATACTCCAGTGTGTGCAGGAATCATCTGGGAGTCTTGCTGACACTCAGATTCTGAGTTAGTAGGTCTATGGGGCTGGAATTTGCCTTTCCAACAAGCTCTTGGGTGAGGCTGCTGCTGCCACTCTGGGGACCACTGTGGGTGGCAAGGCCTTAGGGGCTGAGAGTCAGGACTCCTGAGTTCTCTCTGCCCTGCCGCTGGTGTTTCCTGTGTTTCTAGATTGTCACTACTGCTTTCTGGGCTCAGTTTCTTCATATGAGTCTTGAGAGTTTGGGGTTCAATCAGGATTCCCTATAGGCCGATTATGTGTGAGTTATGCCGGAGAGCTTGTTTAATTCCAGCTGTTAGATGCAATACATCCCTGTGGGGTCCGGGCAGCTGGACTTTTAGCCAACTGGCTGGGTGATTTTGGTGTGGGGCTACAGGGTGCCCCCACCCAGTGGAATGGTCCCGGGTGCTGGGTGGCATGTTCTGAGGCCTGGTCTACGCTGCTGTCATTGCCAGATAGAGCGGATGCACTGGCCGGGGAGCGGCCAGCAGCTGCCCCGCTCCATTTGCAGCCTGCCCTGCCAGCCGGGCGAGCGGAAGAAGACAGTGAAGGGCATGCCCTGCTGCTGGCACTGCGAGCCTTGCACAGGGTACCAGTACCAGGTGGACCGCTACACCTGCAAGACGTGTCCCTACGACATGCGGCCCACGGAGAACCGCACGGGCTGCCGGCCCATCCCCATCATCAAGCTCGAGTGGGACTCGCCCTGGGCTGTGCTGCCGCTCTTCCTGGCTGTGGTGGGCATCGCGGCCACGTTGTTCGTGGTCATCACCTTTGTGCGCTACAACGACACGCCCATCGTCAAGGCCTCGGGCCGCGAACTGAGCTACGTGCTGCTGGCGGGCATCTTCCTGTGCTACGCCACCACCTTCCTCATGATCGCCGAGCCCGACCTCGGCACCTGTTCGCTGCGCCGCATCTTCCTGGGGCTAGGCATGAGCATCAGCTACGCGGCCCTGCTCACCAAGACCAACCGCATCTACCGCATCTTCGAGCAGGGCAAGCGCTCGGTCAGTGCCCCGCGCTTCATCAGCCCCGCCTCGCAGCTGGCCATCACCTTCAGCCTCATCTCGCTGCAGCTGCTGGGCATCTGTGTGTGGTTTGTGGTGGACCCCTCCCACTCGGTGGTGGACTTCCAGGACCAGCGGACGCTCGACCCCCGCTTCGCCAGGGGTGTGCTCAAGTGCGACATCTCAGATCTGTCACTCATCTGCCTGCTGGGCTACAGCATGCTGCTCATGGTCACATGCACCGTGTACGCCATCAAGACACGCGGCGTGCCCGAGACCTTCAACGAGGCCAAGCCCATTGGCTTCACCATGTACACCACCTGCATCGTCTGGCTGGCCTTCATCCCCATCTTCTTTGGCACCTCGCAGTCAGCCGACAAGGTCAGTGGTGGGGGCTGGGGGTGGACAGCAGTGGGTGAGGGCAGTGAGCAGGGGGCAGCCTCCTGAGGCTGGCTGGCCTCTCCTCTGCTCCGGAAATGCCTTCTTTCATGCCATTCTGCCTTCTCTCTCAGTTCCAAGTTTTCTCTCTGGGTTCTGGGTTTTCCCTCCTCTTTCTCTGTTCTTGCCCCCTCCCTCTTCTCTCTCCCCCTTTCTCTCTGTCTCATGTCTCCTTTTCTCTCCTCCTCTCTCCTTCAGCCCCCCTTCACTCCCTCTTTCCATCATCCTCCTGTTTTCCTTCCCCCCTCCTCCTCTCTCTCCCAGTCTCTCCATCTCTGCTTTCCCTACCCCATCTCCTTCCCTCCTTTCCTACCCCTGTTCTCGTGCCCTTTCCCCTCTCCTCTCTCTCAGCCTGAGAGGCCGCACCGTCTTTCATTCTTCCTTCTTTTCTAGGCCCCTTTCTCTTCTCTCTCCCCACTCAGCCCTGTCTTCCTTTCGGTCCACTCCTCTCTTCCCCCTCCTCCGTCTACTCCTCACAAGATCCCCATGGGACCCTCCCTGTCTCCCTAGCCCCAGGCTGACCCAGAAGCCCAAAGGCTAGGGCCTGGCAGAGGGCCCTTCCTTCCCTTGGCCAGAGCTGCAGAGTGGCTACCTCAGCCTCCTGTTGGCCTGGCCTAAGGACCTGGGCACACCCCAAGAGTCCTGTGTGTTCTGCCCACATCCCAGCCCTAGTGCTGGCTGGGTGACTTGTGGGTTTTATCTTGAAGGACTGGGAGTCACTGAAGGCAGGGGCATCATGTTGAACCAAGGGCCCCAGGTCTTGGTCTGAGCTCCGTGTATAAGTGTGGGATCTGGGAAAGCCAGTTGGCCTCCCTCGCCTCAGTTTCTTCATCAGTAAATTGGGGCCACGTCCCTTCTCCTGTAGTCATAATCACATGATATAGTGGGTGCACAGACAGTTAATACACTGTAAGGAGCATGGAGCCGAGGAAGCCAGAGGGGTGAGGGACGAGGTCAGAGAGGTGACAGGGCAGATGGTGGCAATGACATTGGCTTTTATCATGAGTGAGAAGAGGGGCTGCTGCGGTCTTCTGAGCAGGCGAGGGTGCTATCTGATGTAGGTTGGGAAGGACCCCCTGGCCGCCAAGAGCAGCTGTGAGAAGGTCACTGTCATGCTCTGCAGGAGAGGGTGTCCCAGCAGGTGCAGTGGGGAGTCGGGGAGTTGGACCTGTGTGGAGACTGGCTGGCCAGATTTCCGATGGATGGCACATTGGATGGGAGACCAGGAGAGTCAAGGAGGACAGCACGCTTCGAGGCCTGAACAATCAGGAAGGAAGGGGTTTCCCGTGCTATGGAGAAGACAATGAGAGGAGCCTGTGAGGGGGCAGGAGAGGGCATCCTTTGGATGTCCTAAGTTTGGGATGCTCATTAGACATCCAAGTGCAGCTGCCAAGTCAGTGATTGAATATAGCAGTCTGGAGTTCAGGGGCAAGTTCTGGGCTGTAGACATTACTGAAAAGTCATCAGCCTGAGGCTGGCATCTAAAGCTATGAGTGCATGGCCAGGTGCAGTGGCTCACGCCTGTAATCCCAGCACTTTGGTAGGCCAAGGCAGGTGGATCCCATGAAGTCAAGAGTTTGAGACTAGCCTGACCAACATGGTAAAACCTTGTCTCTATGAAAAAAACAAAAAAGAAGCCAGGTATGGTGGCTCATGCCTGTAATCCAAGCTATTCTGGAGGCTGAGGCAGGAGAAACACTTGAACTTGGGAGATGGAGGTTGCAGTGAGTCAAGATTGCACCACTGTACCCCAGCCTGGGTGACAGAATGAGACTTCATCTCATTTAAAAAAAAAAAAAAAGCTACGACCGCAGGTCCAAGTTTGCAGGGATGCCTGGTCTTCAAAGCTGCGATGGGATGGGGTGCTCGTCATGTGCCAGACACTCCATCTAACAGCCGTTAGGCCCCATGGCCGCTGGTCAGGGTAGGTCTCATCACCCACTGCTTACAGATGCGGACACGGGCACAGAGAGGGGGAGCGACTTGCCTTGGTGGCACAGCTGGACTTGACCCTACTTTGTCTACCTTGAGCGCACCCTCCATCCCCAGCACACCCCTCCCCGCTGCAACTCTGGGATACCTCATGCCTTGGGACTTCCTCGGTTGGTGCCCACCTCTTTTCTAACAGCTCCTCAAGGGCCATCTTCCAATGGGGGCCCTATGGGAGGCACTAAGAGGCAGACCTTGGGGCTGGCAGTGAGTATCCTAAGACCTGAGATCTGAGACAGGGCCTGCTTCAGCAGGAGGATCCCACCTTGCATGCCTGAGCCACACAGCCACCGTGCAGCCACTGCGCCCGGCCGGTGCTGTGAGCTGGGTCTCTGGCCCCACCAGGCATGCTGTGGGAGATCTTCCCTGCTGAGTGCAGCTGCAGGCAGAGGCCTTCACGCTGCTCAGTGCTCATGATCCCCATGGAGCCAGCAGGGAGGCCATCTCGCATCCCAGGAAGCTGGCAGCTTGAGAAATTACCCTCCATAATACCAGGAGGCCCCTTCCCACATCTCCTCAAGGAGTAAAGGTACCTGCCTGGGAGGCCCACACATGGTGGCTAAGCCCCTCCCTCCACCTTGCCATAATTCCCCCTGGCTGATACCCTGTCATCCCAGGATATCAGGCCCTCCCACCTCCAGTTGATGCAGCCCAGCCCCCCAACTCAGCCTCCCTACCCTTTGCAATCTCTCCAGGTGACCTGCCCTCCTCTGATTCCTGCCTTTTTAGGAGGCTTCCCTGGCCCTGCTGTGAAAGGAGTCCCTGAGATGGTCAGTTCACAGTCTGAGAGGGGGACAGGGACTTGTTCCAGGTCATATGACAGGCTGGCCTCACACTAATGTGCTCTCTCCCTGGTGGCCTAGGACATGGGACATGCCCCTCTCCCGCTCTGGGCCTCTGAATGAGGAGGGGGTGGAGGAGATATGCTTTGCAGTTGCTGTGGTTCAGACTCCCAGGCTTCTTAGAGACTCAGGGAACCCTGGGGCTGTGTCTGGGCTGTGTCATGCCGAGCTGCAAGATGCCCCAGTGCAGGCTGCAGGTCTGGCTGCTGAGTGTGTGTTTGCGTGTAGATCAAGTGGGGTGTGGCTGTTGTAGGCGTTGTGGTGTGCATACACAGGTGTGTGTGCCTTTTTACGCATGTGCGTGCTCAGTGGTGCATGTGTGTTGTGTGTGTGCACAGGTGTGTGCCCATGTGCATGCAGATTGAGGGGCTGGGCTGATGGGTGTGCCAAGGGTATGTAGCTGCTGGTGTGTGCATGGATGGGTGGGTTGAGTATGTGTGCCCAGGGGTGTTTGTGCGCACAGGTGTGCAGATGTGTGAGTGCAAATGTTAGTGTGTGCCCGTGGATGTGTGTAGATGTGTGTGAGTACATTTGTTTCTATATATATGTGTGTACCTGGCTGTGAAGGGGTGCGTGAGCCCAGCGAGTCGGATGCAGGGGTGCAGCTGTGAGCTCAGGTGTATGTGTCAATGCAGATAGGTACGTGTATGTTGATGTGTGTGTGAGCAGGCATGCATGTGTGCACACATGTACTTGCACGTGCTCAGCTGCACCCATTCCCCCGGGGTGCGGGTGCCGGCGCAGAGTAAAGCTGTCTGTGCTGCTCTGGTGAGCAGGCGGATGGATTTCCCAGCCTTAGCCCAGATTTCCAAGGCTTAACACTGCAGCCATTTGGAATTACACTGAGCAGGCTTTCTCCGCTCTATGGGGTTACTGCTCAGTCATGCTTGTGTAGGATGTGGCTGCAGAGGCAGGCAGGGTGTGGGGAAGTTCATGTGTCTGGTTTGTACAGATACTGAGGATCTCGGTTCCTATCGGGGTTGGCCTGCAGAAGCACAAGGCAGGCAGAGCTCCTTGGTGCCCCCACCGGGGCCCCTTGAACCCTGTACCCCCAAGCCTAGCACAAAAGCAGGAAATCATCATCCACATCCACAGCTCCTCCTTCTTGTGCCCTTTCCTCACCCCAGCTGTCCTCGGTCCTCCCACATCAAACCCAGCTCAGACCACATCCTTCACTGTGGGGAGCACGTGCCTAGTGAGGCTGAATGCAGGATTCCTCACAGAGGACGGGGTGCAGCGAGGGCCCATCCACACAGGGGAGCTGGGGTGGTGGGAGTCCAGGCACCAGCAGGCTGAGAGGGTGGGTGGGAGAGGAGGGGAGATCACAGCCAGAAGGCCGCCTCTCATTCCGCCTGCCTTTAAGACCCTCATGGTGCCTGGGTCCGGCGCCCTGGGAGTGCCAGCTGGGGTCTAGAGGACCACTGTTTTTCTGATAAGGGTTAACTTGCTACCACCTCCTGGTGGCCATGTGTGCCTTCACAGAGGGGCTCAAGAAACACTGTCTGACCCAGAGGTAGGCTCTTGTGGCGGGGCTCCAATTCCACACCCTGGGGCAAGGATCGGAACTGGGGGTGGGCAGCCCCGCTCCCTCCTGCTGTGTACAGGGCCTACCTCCCAGCAGGGGATGGCTAGAGGAGCCCCCAGGGCCATGCTGGGATGGAGGGGTTTGATCTTTTTATACCCCATCTTGTATTTTGTTTGCAGAAAGGCTCTTAGGCTGAAAAACAAAACAGAACACCAATGACTGTGCTCACGCCTGTGTTCCGAGCTGGCTGTATAATTTTCAGGGCCCAGCACAAAACGAAAACGACGGGCCCACTGTTCAGAAATTGTCCACAATTCAATATGGTGGCAGCAGGACCTTAAAGCGAGAGCTGGCCCTTGTAGGCACAGGCCCCGGGGTGACTGCACAGTTGTACACCCATAGCGCTGGCCCTGTCTGTGTTCACGGAGGGGCGTCTGGTGCCCAGAGAGGGGAGGAAACTTGCCAGCATCCCACAGTGGGCTGGGGCTGAGTAGATTCTGGAACCTGGGCCACTGACCCTCAACATGGAACTGTGTCCCCTGCAAGGGTTCCTCTGCCTCTATCCCGGTCCCTGGTCCCACCAACTCCATACGGCCCATTGCACTCCACCCATCAACAAGGAGCGGGCATGGAATACAACCCCTATACCCAAGAACCCCCCATGTGAGAGGAGAGCCAGCCCCTGCCCTCAGGGAATCCTGATGTAATGAGGGAGACACACCTTGTCCCCAGGGAGCTACCACCCCATGGTGAAGACCCAGACGACAAGCCAATCCTCCACTAGTCCAGGACTCTATGATATTTCCCACGGGTCTGTTTTGATGCTCTGGAGCCTCTCCCCGCTCTCTCTCACCCTCATCACCCCGCCCTCTCTCACCCTCATCACCCCGCCCTCTCTCACCCTCATCACCCCGCCCTCTCTCACCCTCATCACCCCGCNTCTCTCACCCTCATCACCCCGCCCTCTCTCACCCTCATCACCCCGCCCTCTCTCACCCTCATCACCCCGCCCTCTCTCACCCTCATCACCCCGCCTCCTCTCACCCTGATATCTTGGGCAGGAGAGACGGCCAGCATCCCCCTGCCATCTGGTCATGATCTTTCCCTCTGGGAGAGCCCCACGCCCAGGGTTGAGAGTGTAGGCGGTGTATGAGGATGGAGGCCTGTCTGTATCTGGAGGGGCCTGTGCTTACTGGGGGACAGGCTTTCATTTCCCCTGGGCCTGTGACATTTTCCTGAACCAGTGTCTGCTCTCGGCCTCCTTCCCCTCGGAGCTGTGCCTGACGTGGGCCACGCTGGCCTGGAGGCTGGGCTTTGAAAAGCGTCAGCGCCTTGGCTCGGGCATGTCATAGCTGCCAGGCCGTCCCCCATGTCCCCCATGTCTCTTCTCAGTTTCACCTCAGTGCGTGCGATCACTAAAAGCAACTTTCACGTGGCTTTACGGTCTGTGCCTGGGGTTCCCTCACGGTTTAGGTGAGGTAGCTCCTTTTGGCCCATTGCACTGAGGAAAAAACTGAGGCCCACAGAAGGGCGGGACTCTCCTTTTAGGCCCTGCAGCTTTTCTAGCCCCTCTCTCAAAGGTAGGAAACCCAGGGCAGGGTGGCTGGAAATGAAGGTCGTGCCATCCAGTGTTATGAGGCATTTATGGAGGGGCGTGCAAGGGACAGGGAGGAATGTAAGAACATGAAGACCTGGTCCGTACATGGGGGGTAGTGCCAGATGGGGCCAGGGCCCCTGCGCCTTCAGGACACAAGTCCAGACCTGTGTCCACACTGCTTGTCTGGGTGTAAGAAATGAAAGGTGTCATGGGTGCTCATAGAGCTGGGGGTCAGGAGAGGCTTCCTGGAGGAGGTGGCACATCAGCCACATGCCAGGGCAGGGCCGAGCTCAGAACGAGCAGATTTGGGGAAGAGCACTTCCTGCCTCCCTCATGCCCAGACCTGGGAGGCTTAGCCTGGGTCTCCTTTGGTCCCACCTTGGCTGAGGGGTTCAGAGGGGCAGCTGAGGCCTGGAGAACCTGGAGGAAGCGGGAGGCAGGGAGGGGAATCCCAGACGGGGAACAGTGGGAATTGCCGGGCCCTGCCTGGAAGACTTTACTGTTGTAAAATGGATTATCCGACACCCAGATTAATGGGCTTTCATTTTGCTAAACATCTGTCACCGTTAGTGCTGGCGAGCGAGCGTGAAACGAGCTCTGACTGCTGCCACCACCATATTGCGATGGGCGCCGAGGATCCTGGGCTCTGCACCGGGGGACAGTCGGTGGGGGGCAGTCACCGAATGGGGGCTTGGTCTGAGGGGCTGTGGCATGGTCACGGGGTGTTATTCCAAGGCACCAGGGGGTGCTCCTCTCACCCTCAGCCCTGAGAAGGGCCGGCTGTGGTCTCCTGAGAGCCCCTCCTCAGGCGCTCCGCCTCTACACAGCAAATAACAGCGGTAAGCTGAAATGGCACTTACCATGTGCCAGATGTTTTCCACACTTTTTAAACATTTATTAAGTCACTTAATTCTCACAACGGCCCTAGGAGGTAAGTACTGTCATGATCACGCCCATATTATATATGAGGAAACTGAGGCACAAGGATGTGATGTGTCCAACATCACACAGCTGGAAGTGGTGAGCCAAGATTTGAATACAGAAACCCTGGTCTGCAGTCCCAGCTCCATGCCACGACTCCCTGATGCCTGAAGGCAGCGGGATGCAGGGTGGGGTCCCCATGTGCGTCTCTGGGTGGGAACTGGCAGGGGTCAGGGCCCGCAGTCGGGGCGGAGCCTGCTCTGACGCCACCCTGCCCTCCGCCAGCTGTACATCCAGACGACGACGCTGACGGTCTCGGTGAGCCTGAGCGCCTCGGTGTCCCTGGGAATGCTCTACATGCCCAAGGTGTATATCATCCTCTTCCACCCGGAGCAGAATGTGCCCAAGCGCAAGCGCAGCCTCAAAGCCGTCGTCACGGCGGCCGCCATGTCCAACAAGTTCACGCAGAAGGGCAACTTCCGGCCCAACGGCGAGGCCAAGTCTGAGCTCTGCGAAAATCTGGAGGCCCCAGGTGAGCTGCTGGGCCCCATTCTGTCCCCTCGGGCCCGGGGCCGGGCTCCTTTTGCAGCAGGTCGGCCGAGTTTCCGCCCCGCCCCGCCCCATGCCGCATCCTGGGGAGGCGGCGGGGGACACTGGGGGAACCCTGAGGCTACAGGTGGGGACCACCCTCTCAGGGAGAGCCCCAAGGCACCACATCAGAGCCCGTTCTGCCCTGCCCCTCCTGGTGGCCTGGAGAGAACCTCAAGGTTCCCCAGCCGGTGCCCTAGCAGCGCCCTTCCAGGGATCTGTGCCCCACCCCGAGCCAGGCCACCAGGGGGCGCCTGGCCCCTGAGGGTGAGCGGGGGATCCCTGGATTTCTCTGTTCTGGGGCCCGGGTCTCCACCTGTGTCCTTTCAGCCCCTCTGGGAGAAGGGGTCGTCCCAGGGGCCCTGCACACTGGCCCTTTGGTAGCCCGGGGGGGTGGGAGCGGCTCTGGGCCCAGAGCAGCTGTAGCACCCAGCTTGGCTTTGTCCAGCCACCTCCTAGCAGGCACCCGAGTGCTGGGGACCTGGGACATGGGCTGGCCAGGACCGGTGGGTGAGGGGCAGGTTGAGGCAGAGGGGCCCGCAGAACTGCCTACTGCGGCACTCAGGTGGCCGCCTGTCCAGGGATTGTCTGAGGAGACCAGCAGGAGGTCAGGCTTTGCGGTGGGAGAGGGCACCAGGCAGGGACCGTGTGGCTGAGGGGCAGGCCTGCGGTCTGGGGCTGGCCGGGACAGGTCCCTTCAGGGCTGGTTACGGGGCAGTGCCACCATCTTTGCCAACTCCCCTCTTCCTCTGGGTGCCAGCCTGTGCCGCTCTGTTGTGGAGAGTATGCTGGTTCGGACACCCTCTCCGTCTCTGATCAACACCGGATGCCTGTGTGTCCCCCTTTCCCTCCCCTGTGACCTCTGGTTCTTTCCAGACCTCCTCCTCCCCCAGAACACTCCTCCCCCCAGCCCCACCTACGACCCTGGGGCTCCTTTTGGGTGCCATGCTGGCCCCCATACAGAGCTGGGAAGGGGCAGAGGGGCCCATGGGACTCCCACCCTTGGCCTTTCATGTCTTCCTGGATGTCCAGGAACCCAGATGAGGCCCTGATCAGGCCTTTCCTCCCAAATGGGGACCCCACCCCTGCCCCAGTTTTCTTCCTTCCCATGGAGACTTCCCTTCTCCACTCTCAGGTCCCATTCCCTCAAGGCATCCTCTCTGCCACGTGCAGAAGCGGGTCTGTCACGCGGGCTTTTCCCCAGTGCTCCTGAGAGCTCCTCCCAGAGGTGACATCTGACTCCAAAGGCTGACACTGCGGGTGCTGTGATAGGCCAGGGGGCCCCATAAAGGGCGGGGCCCTCACAGAGAGCTCTGACGGCTCAGCACCGGCCCTGCCTTCTGCCTTTGCTCCAGCTGCTCACCTGGGAACACGGGACAACTACCCACTCCTGCCAGAGAAGGAGGAGTATGGAGGCCTGAGGAGGGAGACCCTGTATCCCCAAACCCCTGCTTCCTGCCCAGGAGGAGCTTGGGGGCCTCCAGGCTGTGGGGCAGCCCCCATGGACCTCACTTCCAGCTGCTCTGGGGTTGGGAGGGACTGAGGCGTCTGTGGTCACCCAGACCCCCTGCAGGCCTTGGCATCCTCCCCACAGAAAGTCTTAGGGGCTTCCAAGATAGGGAAAGGGGGAGCCCCTCTCCCCATCTCCTGTGTGAAGGTCAGTGGTCAGCACCTTGTGCCCCACTGTCTCTCAGCTCAGTGACAACAGGGGCCATGGAGGCACCAGGCAGGAGCCAGGTGATTGATTCTGGGGACAGCCGGACCGAGGGGGTGTGAGCAGGAGGAGTGGGAAAGTGTCACTCCTGTGCAGCAGGGACATTTTTCACTCTGTCACTGGCGGGCTACGTATCTTTAAACAAACAACAGAATAAATAATTCAGGGGCCTGATTGTAGGCAGATCGGGCGTGGGTGCGGAGACAAGGGGCGACAAATAGGGGTTGTCAGCTGGCGCCTAGTGCTGCCTGGCTAATTGTTATCTGAGCCTCCGGCAACTGAAAGCCGGCAGCCAGGGCCTGTCGTCAGCACTGGCTGACGACACCCACACCCCTTGGCCTTCCCCTCACACTGAGGGTGCTCTGGGAGTGTTGCTGTCCCCATCCTGTCCCCACTGCTGGAGTGATTTCAGCCCTGTCCTTCTGCCCAGCATGTTGCAGTATTTAGAGTGTTTCTGGCTGGGCGCGGTGGCTCACGCCTGTAATCCCAGCACTTTGGGAGGCCGAGGTGGTCGAATCACGAGGTCAAGAAATCGAGACCATCCTGGCCAACATGGTGAAACCCTGTCTCCACTAAAAATACAAAAATTAGCTGGGTGTGGTGGCGTGGGCCTGTAGTCCCAGCTACTCGAGAGGCTGAGTCAGTAGAATCGCTTGAACCCGAAAGGCAGAGGTTGCAGTGAGCTGAGATTGTGCCACTGCACTCCATCCTGGCGACAGAGCGAGACTTTGTCTTAAAAGCAGAAAAAAGAGTGTTTCTATTCACCTCTTGGCGACTCCACGTGGTGCTTACTGTCACCCCATCTTACAGGTGAGAGAATCTCGGCTCTGAGAAGGTCAGGTTGTTGGAAGGGCGACACAGCATGTGTCGAGATTCCCCCATAGCATTGTGGGCAGGACTGGACCCCAAATCTCCTGACTTCTGGCCAGAACCCTTCCTTTGGAGCCTCACTGTTAGCTCGTAGGCGCCCTGGGCAGACTCTGCCTCCCATTTTCCACATGGTGAGACAGGCTTGGGTGAAAGGCTCCCCAACTTCTGGAACCTGTGAGCTGGATTTTCTAGGGTAGACAGGTCGGGCATCAGAAGAGAGGAGAGCAGAGACCCTGCGGTCCTTGCTTTCCACGCGTTCTCTAGTCCGCAGCTGCCCGTGGAGTCCCCTGCTACCCCTGGAGTCCCCTGCTGCCCCTGGAGTCCCCTGCAGTCAGTGGGGATTTGGTTGTGACTGCTGAGAGTTTTTTCCACCTCTGAGCCAGGAGTTGCTGACAGGTTTTACAGGCTTGGAAGCGGAGTTTTATCAGTTCCCTGAGGGGCTGATGGCACCCTGGGGAATTGATTCTCACCAGCCTGACCTGCAGTGATTCGCATAGCCACTGCGGCTCTTTTTCTGACCATGGGGGATAGAATGGGGTGAAGATGTTGGGGGCAGTTGGAAGCCCCTCAGGAGAAGTAGTCTAGGCACGAAGGGCCACCCTGCTCATGTTACAGGCAGGGAAACTGAGGCTCAGCAAAGAAGGGGAGGAGCTGCTTGAGGCTCAGAGAGAGTGTGAGGCCTCCCTGCAACTAGAATCTGGGCTCCTGCCCCCAGGGTGCTGATCTGTGCTGTTCTCCCTCTCAGCACCTCCTGCCATCCCAGGCCACCTCCTGGACGCTGCCCCATCCAAGCTGCCCTGTCCTGTGGTCACTCGGCCCTCTTGGTCATCCAGCACCCTGGAAGGACATGGGTCATTTCAGAGATGCTGATAATTCTTCATGAACTGTAGGGTGCCATGTTTGTTCTTATTCTTTTTTTTGGTACCATTTCTCTTCCATTGGCACCTGTCCAGGTGGCACCTAAGCCTTGAAACTTGCCCACCCTTATCCAGCTAAGTGATTCTTCATCATCTGCTTGGATTTTTCTATTGACAGAGAGCTCATAGAACACTGACTCCATCCAGCCCTGGCCAGGAGAAAGTTCTTCCTTTAACTGAGCTGGACTCTGACCTTCATGCCTCCCTTGCAGGGAGACCTCACACTCTCTCTGAGCCTCAAGCAGCTCCTCCCCTTCTTTGCTGAGCCTCAGTTTCCCTGCCTATAACATGAGCAGGGCGGCCCTTTGTGCCTAGACTACTTCTCCTGAGGGGCTTCCAACTGCCCCCAACATTTTCACCCCATTCTATCCCCCATGGTCAGAAAAAGAGCCGCAGTGGCTATGTGAACCACTGCAGGTCAGTTTGCCTCTTCCACATGTGATAGACTGATAGTTGGACACCACAATCCCCCTGTTAGTGGGCTTCTAGTTACGCTGCTATGACAAAAAAGTCCCAGAACAGAGCAGCTCAAATCAGACAGATGTTTCTTTCTGCTATAATAGGACATGGTGGCTGGGTGGGAGTGGGGACCCAGGATCCTTCCATCTTGTTCTCCATTGGCTCCCTGAAGACTGAGGCTAGATGACCTCAATGATTGTTCCCCTCATGGAAGGGAAAAGAGAAGAAGCATGGGGGAAAGACTCATTTTAATTGAATGACATGGGAGTTGCACAGTCCTTCCACGTGTATTTCATGAGGAAGGGCGCAGTCAGGTAAGGCATCACCTAGCTGCAAGGGAGGCTGGGAAACAGTCCTTCAGAGTCATGTGCCCAGTGAAACAGGGGAGAGAAGATTGGGGGGACAACTTGTAGACCACCAACCACATTTGTCCCCCAATTTCCTCTTCTCCAGACCTGATGCCCCTGGCTGCGTCTGGCAGATGTGCCTCCTTTTTGAGCCGACATACCCCAACCTAGGGTCAGGGCAGCTTTAAGACAAAGGGCAGCTGGTTTCTCCCACCACTGCTTCTCTCCACACTTGCAGACCAGCCCCTGCCCCAGGCAGCAAGAGTGCCCTGATTACCACCACTGAGCTGGCCCCCAGGCCGCTGAGGGAGCCCTAAACCCTGGCTGGGCAAGACAAAACCAAGGGTCTGGCCAGGTCCCTCACCCCTCTGGCCTCAGATCCTCGTCTGTCAAATTGGGTGATGTTTCTTTGGCCTCCTCACTAGACTGCTGTGGGGTCTGCACTCTGGAGGGGCGGGGGTCACTCACTGCCCATGAGAGCTGCTGATCACTCACTGTGGACAGGAATGGGAGGTACCCTGATGTCCCGCCCCAGTCCCAGTGTGGAGTAAAGTCCAGAGGGACAGGAGCAGAAAAGGGGGGCTCAAGACCGAGGGAGACGGGCGCCGAGAAGTAGAAAGGGTGGATGCTCCGAGGGCCGTGCGGCCCTGGGGGACTTGTGTTTCCTTGGGCGTGGGGCAGAGGGCTGAGTCAATCCCATGTCTTAGTTTCTAGCCATGCATGGCCCTGCTCTGGTTTTCATTATTTATTTCCTCTGTCCCCATTCCCCACTCTCTTTCCCTAGACCACTGTTCTATTTTAATGTATATTCCTTACGTGTGCGTGTCTAAAAGGTGTGTGGTTGAGCTTCTGAAAGACTTTTCTTTGATAATATTTTAAGGTTATATGATGTCGTAAAGAAGATTTCTTTTGAAGTGTGGTAGAATTAGGAGGTGGCAGGGGCCTCATGCTGGGGAGACCCTCACACAGGAGTGGGCTTTGGGAGGGAGTGCTAGAGGAAGGCGTCACCTCTAGAGTGACAAAGGGAAGAGGAAAGGCAAGCAGCCCAGCCCGGCAAAGGCGTGGAGGTGGGAAACATGGGCCCAGTCCCTGGATGGGGAGCTGGGAACAGCAGGAGAAGCTGCCAGATGGGCCAGGCAGGGCCAGTGCACACTTTGGGGTGATGTTGCTTGCTCAGCTCAGGACCGGGTGCCATGAGAGGTGGGGCGCTGTGGCAGGCTCTTGTGCAGGGCTGTGCTCTATGGAAGGAGAGTTGGAGAACAGCAGCCCCTGATTCCTGGGTACCCCTGCTCTCTCTCCTTCCAGCACTGGCCACCAAACAGACTTACGTCACTTACACCAACCATGCAGTCTAGCGAGGCCACGGAGCTGAGCAGGAGGAGGAGCCATGACCCTGTGGATGGTGCGACGGGCCAGGGCCACACCCAAGGGCACAGCTGATGTCTTGCCTGCCCGTGGGCGCCCACGGACATGGCTTGGTGCTGAGGACAGCAGAGCCCCCGGCCGTCACTGCTGGCAGCCTGGGAAAGCCGGGTGGGCAACAGGAAGACAAGGGGCTGGGGCAGTGCCAGGCCATCCCGAGAGCCTGCATCTTGGACCATTGCCCCTCCCAGCCCCAAACCACAGGGGCTCAGGTCGTGTGGGCCCCAGTGCTAGACCTCTCCCTCCCTCTGTGTCTGTCTGCGTTGCTGGCGACACCCCCATCTGTCTCCAGCCCTGTCTTTCTGTTCTCTTATCAATTTGTTTCACCTTTCCCCTCTCTGGTGTCCCCGGCTGCTTTCTGTGTCTCGTTTCTGGCTCTTGCCTCTGATTCCTCTCCCTCATCCTCTCTGTCCTCAGCTCCTCCTGCTTTCTTGGGTCCCACCGGTGTCACTCTTCTGCTGTTTTCTTTCCTGACCTCGTCCGCTTCATTCTCGTGCAGCCGTTGCTCCGCTTTCCCTGCCACCCTTCCCCAATTCGCCAAACTTTCCATGTCACAAAAGAGAAAAAAGGAAAAAAAGTCAAAACACAAAAAAGCCAAAACAAAAACAAATCTCGAGTGTGTTGCCAAGTGCTGCGTCCTCCCGCTGGCCTCTGTGTGTGTCCCTGTGGCCCGCAGCCTGCCCGCCCGCCCCGCCCGTCTGCCGTGTGTCCTGCCCGCCTGCCCGCCCGCCTGCCCCTCCTGCTGACCACACGGAGTTCAGTGCCTGGGTGTTTGGTGATGGTTATTGACAACAATGTGTAGCGCATGATTGTTTTTATACCAAGAACATTTCTAATAAAAATAAACACATGGTTTTGCACCCGGGCTCCACATCCACTGAGGGTCCTGCCACGGGACCCTAGGCTCAGCCTGCAGCTGGAGGGCCTGGACCTAGAGGGAAGCGGGACCTGGGCTGTGGAGACCCAGGGCTTGGGGGCTGTGGAGACTGCTCCCTAGGCTGGGATCTAGGGTGGCGTGGAGAGGCCTTGGGCAGGGAGGGGCCAGGTTTCCAGGTAAGGGGCAGGGACATTGCAGGAAATTCCAGGAATCAGCACCTGGTAGTCCCCTCGGTAGGGAGATGCTCTGTCCCCTGCCCTGCAGCCCTGGGAGGTAACTTTTCTGCCCTGCCTGCCGTCTGTCTCACACCCCTCACACCTGGGACTGCCCTCCCACCCCCGCCCCCCATAACCTTCACCTCTCTCCTTCCAGCCAGGAAATCCTCTTGAGAAGTTAGCTTCCGGGGCTGCCAGCATCACAGCCGTCCCCGCCTACTTGTATTGTCTCCAGGTTCGGTGCTAAGACGATGTGTGTCTGTCCTGGAGATCAGTGTGTGGTGTGTGTCCACGTGGGCCCACAAGTGCACGGCATAGGCGTGGCCGCATGGCTGTGTTGGCTGCGTGTCTGTGTGCACGCCCGGTGCCTCCATGCATATGCATGTCTGTCTTGAGTGTCTGATCGTCTGTTTAGGCCCCGGTGGCTTGTGAGGATGCCTGTTTCAGGCCTGTGGCCTGAGACAATCACTGAGAAGGCTCAACCTGCTTCCCTGGCAGGTTGGGAGGTGGGAAACGGGAACATTTAGGGCTGGGCTCTGCCAGGGGTAAATTATAGAGCCAGCGACAATGAGGCCACAGGCAGCAGCTGGAACCGGGCTGCCTGTCCTGCCCCGCCCCTGCCCTGCCCCCAGGTCCTGCACCCCCTCCCACCTCCAGACTAGCTGACAGGGCTATGGGGCACAGTGGAAGGGACTGGAGGAAGCCTGGGCAGGGGCAGGGACTGGGTGTGAGGACACGGAATCACACCAGGTGTTATGTCCCCTCCATCAGCCCACTCTTACTCCTGGCCTGGGCATCTCACACACCTGTGCTTAGGAAATCTCTTCTACCCTGGGATCTGTGTGCAGCACCTAGTAGATGCTCAATAAATGTCTGTGTGAGGGAGACAGGAAGGGAAGCATCTTGCTGATCGTCCTGCTTGTCAGAATGATTCCTAAAACCACCACTGCCCAGGGGAGGTTCCACCCAGTGCTCCAGCCCACTAAGACAGAACTAGGTGGCCAGATCAAGGGTATCTGCCAAAAGCTTCCAGGGCAGTGGAGGGGAGGGTGATAGGAATGTAGAAGGGGGTCCAGCCAGCTCTCCCTGAGGGTGACTCTGGCAGCACCCCCAGCCTGGGCACCCGGCCTGCTCTGTGGCTCACGTCCTCCTGAAGTGATTGATGCTCTGAGTCCTAAGGCCAGGTCCACAGCAGGGCCTGGAGCCCAGGGGTTTAACCCTCAGCCCAGGACTTGGCTAGGTCCCCCTCCATCTGTGGGGCCCCATCTAGGTTCTAAGGGGAGAGCCACTTCTTCAAGGGGGATGCTGCCCCTTGGCTCTCAGGAGGGGCTCTCAGGGACTACCTGTCCCCTGCCATTGGAGAGAAACAGGCCTGCCCTCAGGCAGCTTCCAGCGTGAGGGGGGAGATGCAGCAGACTGTGTCCCAAAGTCAAATGACTGTGAGAATGAGGTGGGTGGAGGAGGGAAGCCTTGGGTGGGTGTGACTTTGGGCATCTGAGCCTGGGGTGTGGAGGTGTGGGTGGGCTCTGTGGGCCTGAGGTGGATGGGAGGGAACCAGGCCTTAGCAAGACTTTTGCCAGCTAGACCTGCAGCAGTTGGGAGGATGGGTACTGCTGGGGTCTTGGGTCCATCACCTAGAAGGCTCGGGCCAGTGCAGCCAGGGCTGGGGCCCACAGCTGGCCTGGGTGGGACCTGCCCTGATGCCTGTGGCGGGAGGAATGCCTGGCCCCTCCCAGGAGGCTTGGCTGCTCACCTTTGGTCTCATCCTCAATTATTAATGCCCGGGGAAAGCTGCTAAGTATCTTCAGAATGTTAGATCTCAACAAGATGTTGGTGGGGGTAGGGGAGGGGTCTAGGGTCCCTGGTGCCCCGGATAGGGAGCCAGCGGTCTCCAGAGACCTTTGCTGTGTGCAAGGGGTATGTCCTCACCCCCTCGGCCTCAGCCTCCTCAATGTCCGAACAAAGGGATTGGGCTAGTGGCCACCCCACCCCACAGCACGCTTTCTAACCAGCAGGGGAACTTACACAGATGCCGGGCCTCTCCAGAACACTGGACCTGAACTTCTGCAGGGAGGGCTGGGCATGGGCACAATTTAAAAGCTCCCCAGCAGATGGGCTGTGCAGCCAAGTGGGCCAGGTGTGGTACCAGACTTTGTCTGTGAAGTCAGGAGGGAGCAACAGTGCCCACTCGAGCTTGCCTGGGGCTCAAGCCCAAGGTTATGCTGCTACCAGCCTGAGCAGGCGCCCAGCAACTTCTAGGCCAGCTGGATGCACAGAGCACCTCTGTGGAACTCCTAGAACCCTGGGGAGACAAGCCGCAGGAGAGAGGGCAAGCTGGAGTCTCAGGTCCCTTCCGGCTCAGTGGTGCTGTTCTGAGCTCTAATGTCCTATGGTCTGCCCCTCCCGTCTCGCCGTCTCAGGCCCTGGAGGCAGAGGCATAAAGCCAGGCAGGAAAGAGGGCTCAGTGGATCACATGCCAGTCGCCCACACCACCTCAGCCTCCAGGTCCTCCAAGGGGTGCCGGGGAGCCCCTGAGAAGAAGCTGAGCCTGCAGGAGGTGGGGTGGCCTCTTTCTGACACCCTCACTGGGTCCACCTCCCAGTCCCAGGTTTCCATCTGCCCGCTGAACAGGAGGGGACACGGAGGCACTCCCCTGGCACTGAGGGCTCCTTCTGTCCTCCTGCCTGCCCTGGATGGTCCCAGCTGCCCCTCAGGGCTTGGCCCTGGCACTCTGAGCCTCACAGGGCTCAGACCCACCTCCCCTGCCCCCAACCCAGCACTGAATGGCACTCAGGCACCAGAACCTCACTCCAGTTGGCAAAAGCAGCAATTAGCATCTGATGAGGCTTCTTGCTTTATTTTTAGGTAACCTCCAAGGCCCTGCCTGTGTAATTCAGCCCGCCATTGCTCGGCGGATAATTAAAGCATGTCACCATAATTTGCCTTTTTTTTCTATAAAGCCCCATAATTATGTTTTTATTGCGAGTGAGGATGAACAAGGAGGGGAGGGAGAAAACAAAGGGAGGTGGGGTTTGCGCAGGAAATGGGGCTTGGCTCCTTCAGCCAGACCTCCTCCTACTCCATCCGCAGAACCAGGACCCCCACCCCCATTCCGGGTGCAGCTACCCCCGGGGACCCACTTAACTTCCAGGACACCTCTTCCTCCTTTTATTCTAAAACCAGCCCCAGTTTGCTTCAAAGTACAGTGGGCAGGGAGCGGCAGAGCTGAAGCCAAGGTGGCCAAAAGTGGATGATTCTTGGGCAGGATATGGGCACATGGGAAGTCTTTATCCTGCTCTCCTTCCTGTATGTTGGAAAATTTCCATAACAAAGAGTTAAACCAAACTCCACTCCCAGGAAAGGGTTTGCTGACTGCAGGGCAACTGGCATCTCCTCTCAGGGCACCTGTTCTTTCTAACTCTGAGGTGAAGGGCTGCCTTTTTGCACCAGGAGATGCATTTCTGTCATTATTTTGGTGCTGCTGAGTGCCAGTGGGTGATCCTTCCTGGAGCATCTAAAATCATTTTCCAGGCCTGCAGGCCAGCTGGAACAGGCCAGGCAGCTGGAACAGGCCGGCCAGCTGCCCACGTGGTTTGAGGGAGTCCACTGCCCTCAAACATCTTCCCAACGCCAGCGTCAGTGCCCAGAATTCTGTGGTTATAGCCTCAGGCTTCTGAGCCAAGGCATGGTCTCCCAAAACACATCAACCAGCTGGCAACCATACTGGAGTTCAGCATCAAGACACCAGCTTCCCTGAAGCTGTGGGACAGGGGACAGGTAAGTTTTAAAAGATCTGGTTTTGAAAGAGCTTCCCAGATTACCCGAACTCAAGGGCAGGCCCTCCTCCGCTTTCTGAAGGCCTCTTCAGCCCCAGACTTCATCCTGTATTCAGTGGGCTTGCTCATAGTTACCACCCACCGCCACACTGTCAGCCCTACCATAGCAGGGACTGTTTTCTGTTTCATCACAGCTGAATCTCAGGGGCTAGGAGAGTACCTGGCATGTAGCAGGCATACCACAAGTGTTTGCTGAGTGAGTGAATGAGGGAGACAGGGCTGGAATGGATACTTAGAGGAGCCTATTTAGCTGTATCCTCACCTAGCACTCAGCAATATCTGAGAGTCTCTGCCCAAAGTCAGTTTCTTCACTTAAGCTTCCTCAGGTTTTCCCCAGAGGCCTGAGGAAAGCACAGATGTAGCACGCTTGTCATTGGGTAGAAAGTGACCTCCATCTCCCTCCTAGGATGACAGGCACCCTGGAGCAGAAATCAGGTGACTTGGATTCTAGGTAAGGCTCTGCCACCAACTTGCTGTGTGCCCTTGGGCAAGTGGCTTTCCCTCTCTGGGCCTCGCTTTCTTCTTCATCCTTAAAATAAGGGATTGAGCTCTGAGTGTTCAGAGCCTGGGTAAGCAGCCAGCAGTGTAGAAAGGGGAGGCTACTGCCAAGAAGAGTCTTTTGGGGCCAGTTGCTATGGCAACTGTGCACACGCTAGGGGGTTGGGAAGGGGCTCTAGTATGCAAACCAAGCCCTTCCTTTGGCTTCCCCAGCCCAGACTGTCTGTGACTGGAGGAAGAGGGTTTTTTTGTTTTGTTTTGTTTTTTGAGAGAGAGTTTCACTCTGTCACCCAGGCTAGAGTGCAATGGCACGATCTTGGCTCGCTGCAACCTCCACCTCCTGGGTTCGAGCAATTCTTCTGTCTCAGCCTCCTAAGTAGCTGGGACTACAGGCACACACCAACATGCCCAGCTAATTTAAAAAATTTTTTTTA